ATGCAATTTTAGTTTAATTAATGTCGTATAAAACTGACTGCTCGTACAAGTTTGCTTAAAACACGCGACTCAAAAAACCGCAAAATGGCAGCTCAAGAAGTAGATCACGCGTGTCCTGACCTTCTTATTTTGCGCGGCCATTTTGGAACCATACGTAACATTAACCCTTATTTCTTTTACTACGATTACTAAAATTGAAGTTCATAATTTAAAAATTAAATTATAGTGGTAGAAAATAATATAAAAGTATTTATATTATTTATACTCATACAATTTCAAAACTATTTTCTGTAATAATTTGATTCTGACTTAACGGATATTTTGATATTATTGAGGACAAAAGTTTAAAATCATTCATTTTCTTACCTGTTCATTATTTTTGTTTGACGGAGCTGAATCGTTTGGACCACGTGGCGCGAATAATTTTGTTAAGCTCCTCGCGAGAATGTGCGGATGACCGAAACGTGCGAAAGAAAACACCGAGTCGAGACATTTGCACGTGCAACTATCCGTACGTTGTTGACGTCGACCGATGTACACCGCGTGTACTGTACAGTACGTTGCGATTGGGTAAATCAAATTAGCGAGCGGTGACACTAGTGAGACTTTATTAAACTAATTTTTTCGTTAGGGCGTGAAATATTATTTTGTACCATAAATGGTACTTGAAATATTATAATTAGAGGATTTGATCCCGGGATCTCGAAAATCGGGATCCCGGGATCCCGACCACTTTTCAGTCCCAAAATTTTCGGGATTAAGTTTTCCTAATCCCGGGATTTTCGGGATTGACATCATTTTAAAAAAATTGCAAAATAGACTGCATGAAGCGAAACGTTCAGTGCCAGTGCTTTTAACAGAATTGCTTGCCTATCATTTTAATATAAAATACAAGAAATTTTATTCCAAGCAAGCAGCAGAAATTAACCAAGCNATGTTGAGTCGGATTAGTCTAGAATCGATTAATTTTATGGAAGAAAATCTTTCAATCAGCCGTAGTCCGTAAACTTGATACGTGTCGGATTGTGATTGAAAGGATTCGTAAGAAATCGGATTCCTAAAGAATGGAACGTATCTATATCTTATAGGGGGGTCGACTGTATATATATTACAAACTTATTTCTCTATATAGTCACAAAATAATTCATTTTTATTGTTTGGGCTACAAACAGTTCAAATCCGCTACTTTTTAACCTTCAGATCTGGCAACGCGGATGTACAGATAATAGCAAGTGGCGCTGTTTATATCCCACGACACGTGCGTTTTATCATACAGACTGATTCCAGAAAACAAAGGGCCAAGTAATCATCTACTAAAGTAGTTTACAGTTCTTCGAAGAGTAAGGGATGCCATCCATCCTAATTTTGGTATGTAACGAAAAATTCATCTCGTATATAATATATAATTACCACGATTTATATATAACTATTATCGAAGGCCATTTAAGATTTCCCAAGGGTAAAATTCGCAAAAAATTTTCACTATTATAATAATTTACAACTCGAATAATGGTTACTATTGAATCGTTAATAATTTACCNAAACTAATAACAGAGGTAATTATATTGAACTTGTTTATTTATTAAGTACGTCAGATAAATAATCTATTAAAAATACATTCAAAGAATTAACTGATTGTCCCTGGAAGTCGCCTTCTTATAGAAACACACCTTCCCTATCATCAAATGTCATGGCACGCCCCTGTAATGTGTACATTTAATTTTTTAAAATCCTAAAAGTGCAAACTCTCTCTTTTACAGTAACGATATCAAGAGTAAAATGACAAAGAACAAAAACGTAAAAGACGAACTTGAATCTTCGTCTTCCTTCTCCCAGTGTCGAGCGGAATATGTATTACAAAATCTTCCTAATATAGTTAAATATATCCTTGATTGCTTGAATAATGAAGATTTAGTACGATTGAAACGAGTATGCACTTTATGGAAAGATATAGCCAGCGAAATCTTGAGAAACAGAGTGATATTCGTAACCAAGGTAAGATTTTTCAATAACTAGATTTTATAAGTTCGTATCTAATTCGGATATTTGTTCATTATTACATATTAGCATATTCCAAAAGATGTGCAAATGAAGTCCATTCTTAGTCCGGATATGTTGCTTCCTTACATAAAGAAAAAATGCACTAAACAACTTATACCAGAAATAATAATAAGTGAATTGCCAAATTGTAAAACATGCGATGATTTTGCAAGATCTTCAGATAAATTTACAAGACAAAGTGAGTGTACATCATATGTAGTATCTTATGCGCTTTCTCTATTCAATATTCAACAATTTTTTCTTTCAGCAAGACAACATTCATCTGAACCACCTTCACCATTGATACATTCATCTGAACCACCTTCACCATTGAAACATTCATCTGAACCACCTTCACCGTTGATATATTCATCTGAACCACCTTCACCATTGATAAGTACACAGTTAGCCGTTATTCCATCCCTTCCAAAAATTCGAGTGCATCGTTTCTCGTTAACATCCAGAGAAATTCAAGAGAACATTATTAACGGAATGACAGATTTGTCAGAAATCATAGATATACCTAGAGAAGAACTCAAATGCATTCTATGGTTTGTAGACGGTGAAGTAGAACAGCGTGTTTTGAACGTGATGCCAAGATGCCCCTTTGCTGGCATCAGTAGTTGCGAAGGAACACCAGAGACTTATACAGCACTAGCATTCTCTGGAGAGGGAGTTAATGCTCTCTCGTTTGTTTTAACCGGAGAAGAAGGATTAGAGACGAAAATCAAGGCACAAAATGCGGAGGAAACGTTCAAACACTTCAAATCACGCTACGAAATTAACCAACGAAAATGCGTGGCATTCATATTTTGCAGTTACATCTGCAAATGCAACTTGGCATTCACGTTGAACAAGTTTGAAGAATATTTTCCAAATTTGCCGATTTTGTTTTATTACAACTGTAGATTTTTTGGTGCAAACTGTATTCCCAAAATAAAAGAAAAACAAGAAAATTTCATTTTTACGTCTAGTGGTCGACCTTGGCATATAGGAACACTCGTTCTAGTATGGTTTAACTGAACCCAATCAGTTCTGTACTTTATATTTGTATACATGTTAATAAAATTACATTCGTGAATTTAATAACAAACTACAAAATTTTACTAAAATTATGGTTTTATTAAATTGCATTACAAAGTTATAACAATAGTCAGAAGATTATAAAAACTTTTATGTTTTGTTTGTTTACAGAAGTCTTAAAGGTGGCATTCTATAAACTTCAATTTATTTATCTCATTGTTCAGAATACTTTAAAAATTAGTAAGCAACACGCCTTATATATCGAAAATTCATAGAAGGGACTAGAATACCCATTATCAAAATAGTATTGTGAAGGCATCCAGTAAGATTGTAGTTACATATGTACACCTATGCAAGTACTGTAGTCCTCTTTCTGCTTATCAAATTATAATTACAGAATGATAATTAAGGAATGAAAAAGTGACATCATGATTAAAGAAAGAAAGACTCGTAATTGTTTCAAATAGGTTTTCAAAAGGAAAAACCTAACGAACATTTCTCAATTTCAGGTACAGCAATGAACATGATTATTCTCAGAACTTTATTTGGCCGAATTTTACCTTTATTTCTACTGAAATTACAAGAGAATAGAAAATTATTTTGAAATCTTAACCTAATTACAAAACGTAGGTGAAATAATAATGATTATAATAAATTTTATTGTGAAATAGCTTTCATCGCTGATTCATTTGGCGCGATATTTTTGTTCATGCTAATTCAAACCTCTCAAATTTTAGATATATAAAATACTGGCATTCCTTTATATCGGTAATCAATTCCTGAAAATAACGTTCTGAGGAAAATCCTTAACTAGTAGCTAATTTCACATTATTTTAAACAGGAAAAATTACAATACGTTACAACTATATGTATTCTGTTACAGAGGTAATGGTACCTCTATCCAGACAAGTGTCTTTAAATCTGATGCGAGATAAAGGTCTGAACTACTACTACCCTCTCGACTTTGCTACCTTGGACTCATTTGGATTTCATAACCAAAAAAGAATCGGAACACAGTTATGAAGGGCGTGCGAGATTGGCACCCCCTTGAATCTCAAAATACAATCAGTAAAAAGTCTAAGAAACTTATGTGTATACGTTGATTTGTGATACAGCTTTCTTTACTTGATTAGGTCCAAACATGTATTGAGAGATCGTGAGAGTCAAAAAGCTTGTAATTATGAGAAATCTTGCAATATTTCAAAGAGTGTCACAAATATATGAAACTAGCAGACCCTGCCACGCTTTGTTGTGGCTCAAAATGTATCTATTATAAATGTATAACACTTCCACCTTGGGGGGGAATTTTTCGAAAAATCTCTTCTTAGTGTACATTCTGTTGACGTACCATATTAAANAAGTAGTCTATTTAGTCGATGTTAAGAGAAATTTTTGTGAATTTTCAAGGTTTATTTGCATAGTTTGTTACATAAAAGTTTTTTCAATTTATGTGAGTTTAAAGAGATCTCAGTGATGCTTAAAAAAGAATAAATTTAACATGAAGACAGTGATTTTAAGTCTGGTTAGTCTGACTGTAAGTCTGATTAATTAGAGTGATTAAATTAACTAGGTGTATACCGTAAAATACGTTGATTTTTGTCTAAATTTTGATTTTTAATTTCTGTAAGATTTTCTTATTTTTTATTAACCCTCAATACCGAAATAATCCCGGGATCCCGGGATCGAATAAGTATAATCCCGAAATCCCGGGATTAGAAATAAGGACCGGGATCGAATTCCCTAATTATAATGTACTGAAAATGTACTAAAAATCTAAATGTACTTTCAATTTACTGGAAAGGGCAAAATGTACCAGAAAAGTACAAATGTAGCCTACTTCTAGGAAAGGCAACACTGCCGTTGAGCTCAACGGTGAAACAGCGCTTACGTCACTAGTCTCAACGGAGAACTCAACGTTCCATTTAGAAACGTCGTTCTCTCATCGTTGAGTCAACCGTTGAATATAGAAACGTACGGTATACATATAATCCATTGAACGGGTATCCGTCTGTTCGCGTAACAGTATGCCAAAAACGGGCACTAGAGGCGCCCAAGCGAAGATTTTAAATTAACAATAAATTATTTTTATCTGTAATAAGAATTTATTATTGATATGAATTTATTATTTATACCACAAAATGGTATAAATAATTATTATATGCCTTGCCTTGCCTTATTATATGCCTCGATTAACCTTGCACCGCACGTTTACAACATCCCGTGACTCAGTGAACGTCGCGCATTGACTCACGGAAAATTTGTTGAAAAAATGGCGGATACATTTAAAATCGAGGTTTACAAGCGAAGATAAATAAACAAATTAAACTATTTTAAAGTATTTATAGAATGTTTAATAGGTAGAAATATAGATCCGTATGACGCGATTGGGACGGTAAGATTTACCCTCCGAATCAAGGGTGGCGACACCCTCTCTGTGCGAATAATAAATGTCTAATGAACCATATCCCTACGCGCGATCCTTTCCGAGATATAGGCCTCCGAAAATTATTCTACGGGTCACGTGACCGCCTGTTTGACACAATTTACCCTGCGAATGAGCGGGTCGGCGACACCCCTCCGAGTGTGCGCGAGCGCGCGTTAATTTTTTTTTCGCGCAGTAGGCTTCCTTTTGGCCACGGTGTCACGTGACCGGAAATGACTTAGGTGAATTTTCAGGGGCTTATATCTCGCGAAGGATCGCGCGTAGGGGGGTGGTTCATTAGACATTTATTGTTCGCACGGGGGAGGACTACCTTTTGGGGGGTGGCGACCACTCATTCGGAGGGTAAATCTTACCATTGGGACTTTAACGGAGCTGTAGAACATATTGATAGGAACAAAAAGGTCAAAGGAACCGTGCCTCATGAAAATTTGTAAAAAACGCCCACTAGGGTGCGTCCCGGGTTACTAGTTTATGAGAATGTAATAATGAATTATGCACTCTAAATCGAAATAAATAAACATTTTTTTTGTTAAATACACTTTAATTGTATTTAACTAAAAAAACAAATAGTATGGCTGGTCAACAATATGGCTGCTATCACGTGTTATGAAAAGCACAAATTTTCTATACTGTTGAATGAAAAATTTTCAGATAACGATACGAATATCGGCACTTGTGCAGTTTAGGGGGTACGGCTATTTGAAAAGTTTTCTTCCATAAAATTAATTATGGAATATCCGTATAATTTTTCGGAATAATCCATATAAAATATGCTATAAACAAAGAATTGTAGGAATACTTACCGAGTGCGCACTGTTCGGAGACGCCGTTGCTTAAGCTTGTTTTCGTCGCGGAGCGGCTCATCGGGCGGCGAACGCGTATGAAGCTTGTCACGTGACATTTGTCGGTGCTGTTCGGTCACGTGATTACTCATCTCTGACGTGTTTCCTGATAAGTCATTTTTTCTACGAAAAATTCGCTGAATTTTACACATCATTAACAGAAATATTAAAACATCATTCCATTCTAAATATAGATTAAAATCAACATATAATAACGTATGATAATGCGATAAATAACTAATAATTCTACTCTACTTTTAAATTGCCTAACCCAGTGATGGGCAAACTACGGCCCGCGGGCCAGATGCGGCCCCCTGAAATGTTCTATCCGGCCCGCGCAACATTATTCCTAATCTGACGAGTAAAAAAGAATACAGGCAGTGGTGGTTGATGCACCACTTAACTTGAGTGTTCGTTGATTATACAAAATAACCGAAGCTTTATATCTCACCATGAAAGTTTATTTACAATCATGTACAAAATTTTGTTTTACACTTATTGGGTAAAAGCTCGATCGGTTACAAGCATGCTTCGGTACAGAACATCCACTCGTCGTGCGTAGCGTAGCCGAAAGAGAGAAAAAGAAATATGGCGGACGGCCTGCACATGTTTTTATAGCGCCACCTGGATTTTCAGATGCAGCGCTGGGTTACAATTATATAATATTGGCCCGCCTAAAGTTTTCTTCTTTTCCTTTGGCCCGCTCTTTAAAAAGTTTGCCCATCACTGGCCTAACCTCTTTCATGTCATAAATAAAATTGTATAATATTTATTTACATCAAGACATTACACATCTTATGTTGCATCTGATTAATATTTATCATCATAATACAGTATATATCATGATAGAATTATTGTCGTTAGCGAGCGGTTTTACATTTGTTATTTCATAAGTCATTTCTAATTACAATAAAAATATAGTACTATAATATATTCTGATCTATCACGTGATGTCTGGAAAGTTCAGCTAATTGTTCGGAAAAAGAATAAGTTATCAGGAAACACGTCAGAGATGAGTAGTCACGTGACAAGCTTCGTACGCGTACGCCGTCCGATGAGCAGCTCCGCGACGAAAACAAGCTTAAGCAATGGCGTCTTCGAACAGTGCGCACTCGGTAAGTATTCCCAAAAAATTATACATGTTTTGGAAATGTTCGAGTCAAATTAGCCTATAATCAATTAATTTTATTGAAGAAAACTTTTCAAACAGCCGTAGTCCTAAAACAGCATACGTGCCAGGCTGTGATTGGCTCATGTATTTAAGGACTCGTACAACATGAATTTCATAAAACACAGAACGTATCTACCGTGTTATAGGGGGTCTACTGTAATTCAAAGATTATTAACAATTTTATTGTTAATAATTTTTGAATTATTTACATTTTCTGCATATTATTGACAATTTTTCTTTCTCAATTCTCAACTGTTTCCCAATCAAACTTTCTGCATATTATTAACAATTTTATAGTTAATAATATGCAGAGAAAGCTTGGCAAAATCCGTAGCGTCGTCCATGTTTGACTCTACAACAATTACAGCACTGATCAACAGATGGCGCATTTCCACGTAACGTTCATTTCTGTGCTAGTGGAGTCAAGTTAAAACGAAAACATAACTGAAACAAACACTCTGTATGTTTCAGTTTTGTTTCTGAGTTTCTGTTTTCAGGTAATGTGGAGTCTAGACTAGGCTGCATTCACACTGCCGACGACAACGACCACAGATTCTAAACGATCGCCAAAGCGTTCACATTGTTCATTATTTTTCGTCTTAAGAGCAGCGGTTTCC